AGTGCAGTGGCATCATTATAGCTCACTGCAACCTCAAACTCCTGGGCTCAAGGGATCCTCATGCCTTAGCCTCCCAAGTATTAAGCTAGGATTACAGGCATGCACCACCTTGTCTGACTAATCTTTTCTATTTTTAGTAGAGATGGGGTCTTACTCTTGCTCAGGCTGGTCTTGAACTCCTGAACTCAAGTGGTCCTCCTGCCTTGGGCTCCCAGAGTGCTAGGATTACAGGCATGAGCTACCGTGCCTCACCTAAATGTGGTTTTTAAAAGTTATATTCATTGATGATAAATTTAGTTCCCCTTCCCCCCACTTTTTAACACAATTTAGCCTTTTCTCAGTAGTGGGGACAAATGCCAATGGCTGGTTTTTCCTGCTGCTGGGTTGGTTTCTGCATGTGCAGTTGTACACAAGCCACATTTACTAGCCTTTGCCTTCCATAGGGGAAGAGACTTTTCTGCTCTGGGGAGCCAAGTTACTGTCCTACACCTCTGAGGGGACCACAAGGACTGAATAATTGCAGCTAACATGGAGCATCTCAGTGTGCTGGGCAGTGTACTAAGTACTTCATATATGTAACTTCATTTAATCCTCACAATAATTTTGTGAGGTGTAGATAGTTATTATCCCCATTTGACAGAGGAGGAAACTGAGACTAACAAAGGTAAAGAAGTTATCAGAGGTCTCTCAGCTAATGAGTGGTAGAGGTAGGATTTGAATCCAGGCAAAAGGGCAGGCAGTCCGTCTTCAGAGCTGTACCCTTACACAGCGCATAGCTGGGTGGCCTCTTGTGTACCCTTGGAAGGCCAAGGCCAGGAGACCATTTCTTCACGGGGTGAAGGGGGTTATTGCCAGAGAGGATATGGGGGAGGCTCCTGGGGGAGGAGGACTCCTCTGCCCAAGCAACTCAGGCCCCAGGGCCCTGGGGTCCAGGGTGGGAGCAGGGCAGGTCTAGGGCCGGGCCGCCCAGGCCTCACCTCAGCCCCAGTCGCCCAGTGGGGTGTCCTATGTGCTGCTGTGCGTCTAATGCTATTCTGGGCACCCTGGAGGTCCCAGCAACATTGCAGAGGGCATTCTATCCACAAAGATATTACAGTTTGCATGAGAATATAAGATATGACACTTGGGGGACAGATGGTCTTGAATGTTTTCTATTAAATAAAATATATTGCTTTCCTGCTCCTCCCTGAATATATTTTTCAGGAAATCCACAAGCGCATTCAAACTATTTCCAAGTCTGCATTGGCTTTCAAGGAAGGGATCACTTTCCTCCTGTACTCACTTTCCTCCTGTACTCACTGACACCAGCCCCAATCTGGCTGCCTTCTCTCCTTGATTAAGCCGCATTGTCCTGTTCAGCATATATTCCTGTCTTGTGTATTTGTATGAATGTGCATGTTTCTGGGGTCCTTCACTTTCATTGTATTCTCAGCCATAAAGGAGACCCCAGAAGAGTTCACAAGCAGCACTAGTGGTCAGAATTTTCTTCACCCCTGCCCTGGGCCCTGTTGGCCTGTCTGAGCTGAGGAGAGATGCACCCAGCTCAGACCCTCTGCCTGCTGAGGGGGTTGGGAGGAGGAACAGGATCTTCCGTGTCCAAGCCAAACCTGTTTCAAGCCACAATTACCCAGTCTCAGTTCCAGCCTTGCTTGGTCAGGCACCATGTGTTCCTCCACATTCCTCCCGGTAGCCACAGGCTGCGTGGCTAGTGAGGCCAGCAGCAAAACAAGATGTCCGGGACTCTGCCGAGGGTTGAAAGGACACCCACCATCTGTTCTTTGTACAATATTACCCTCCTAGGTTTAGCCTCCAAGGTGTACTGATACGGAATGTATACCATTGAAAAGGTGGGAGACTGTGTCACCCTGACCCAGGGGTGTGCTGCTGGTAGGAGCTTACCACCGACTCTGAAAATAAAGCCCTGGTTTTCAGCATTTGCCAATTTCCAAGGTGTAAATACTCGTAAATTACCAACATGGCACCACTAAATACAGAGTTGAGAAGAGATGGGCAGCAGCACATCTTTATATGATATTTCCACCAGGCAGACAACAGATATAAATTACCACACAGGCAGAGTAAAATGTGGTAGAGTGATTAGGAAGTGGTATGTTTGGAGTAGTTAGTACCTAGTACTGTAAGTGCTGTTTACCTGTTTTTTAATATAATTTATTGTAAGTGTATATAATTTTTTAATAATGACTGTGTTTAACACCTGGCTCACAGAGTTCCTGAAATTTTAACAGTTGTCCCTTGCAATTGCCACTGTGAGCTGGCTCCCCCACACCACTGCTGTTAGTCTGCACCTGTTTCCAAAAACATCGTGTGGGGGTGGGGATCGTGGGGGAGGCCTCAAGAGCCTTGAGAAAGGGAGGACCCAGCAGTGATTCCCTGACTAGGGCTCTGCACTGGGCTCTGGTACCTAATGACCTGTTTATCCTGTGGCCCACCAGCCTCATCCCCACAGCTGAGATGCATCCTGACCCATATTAGAGCACAGATGTGAGCTTTTGTGTGTTTGAGGACTCTTCTTGAGCTCAGACACTTTCCATAGGTCACTTGAACATTGCTTCATCTGACACCACCTCCCCCCAACTTAAAGATGATCCTTAGGATACACTGTCTCAGCCCCATAACCCTGGCCCTTTTCTTTCACAAGTGATGATTACCATATTCCTGTGAGTTTCTGCATTTGCTGCCATCTCTCTCTCCCCACTGGAAGCTCTCATTCACCCCTGAATACCCAGTTCCTGGTGGGTGACTGGCATACAGCAGACACTCAGTGAATATTTGTTGAAGGGGAAGGGCCTGAGAGAGTAGACAGAGACTCCCAGGAAAACAAGGGGGAGGGAGAGGAAACCACCAAGAGAGTTCATGTAACTTGTTTGAGTTTCTTTATCCAGGAGGAGTAAGCCATTGTGAATATACTGGGTCCCTTTTGATCCTTTCAGCTACCAGGGATGTAGCAATGAGGCGGTCTCAGCTGTTAGTGCCAGAGACCTGACTGAAAATCAGGCTTGGGGCCAGGCACACACCTGGGTGGCTCATATCTGTAATCCTAGCACTTTGGGAGGCTGAGGCAGGAGGATTGCTCGAGGCCAGGAGTTCGAGACCACCCTGAGCAAGAGTGAGACCCCTTCTCTACTAAAAATACAAACATTAGCCGGGTGTTGTGGCATGTGCCTGTAGTCCCAGCTACTCGGGAGGCTGAGGCAGGAGGATGGCTTGAGCCCCGGAGTTTGAGGCTGCAGAGAGCTACAACAATGCCATTTCACTCTACCCAGGGAGACAGAGTGAGACTCAAAAAAATTTTTTTTAAATCAGGCTTGAACAATACAAGAAATCTATTATCTCAGGTAATAAGAGGCTCCAAAGTCGGTGGCTGCAGGTTGGTGTAAGCCCTACCCTCAGGCCAGGGCCCCCACAGTTGCCAGTAGCTGGAGGCATCACCTGGATACAGTAATGTCCTGCAGAAAGGGCATCAGTCACCTCCTGCGTGGCTCTTTGGGAGTAAGGCAATCTTTCCCCGAGGCCACAGGCCCTGCCCTCATCTAGGAACTGGAATGACCAGAGATTCTCAGAGTGTGGTTCCCAGACCAGCACCATCAGCCTCACCTGGAAGCTCATTAGAAACTGGGGTATTGAGGGGCAGTGATCTTTGAAGGATAAACAGTTGAACACCACTTGGGGCTCTCCTGAGAGGAAGTGGGGATGCCGATGGGGCACTGGTGGGGATGAGCCATCCTCAGTGACTCGAGCTGCAGATGAGAGATTTGCATCCACTGCCTTTAACCAGGGCCAGGAAGTGGACAAAGCTTAAGAGTCCTGTGATGAGAAGCAGAGGTGCCCAGGTAACCTGGCAACTGGCTGTACACCTGACCCTCCCCACCTCTGCTCTCTCTCCTTCCCACCAGCTACCAGAGATTCACTGACTGTTACAAGCGCTTCTACCAGTTGCAGCCTGAGATGACCCAGCGAATCTATGACAAGTTTATAACTCAGTTGCAAGCATCTATTCGGGTGAGTGGCAAGAAGCCCAGCAGGTACTGTTGACTTGGTTCTATCTCTAGATTGTCAGTCCCCTGGGGGCTGTGACCGCCCTCTGCCCCTGTCTGCTCAGCCCCTAGAACTTCCTTGGTGCCCAGCAGGCTGCAGCATCTGTCATGCCTCCCCTCCAAGTGTTAGGGATATCTTAAACACCCCCTGCTCTCATTGTCCTGTATTGTAATTATGTGTTTATATGTGTCTGCCCCACTGTGCAAGCTCAGCGAGGGCAGGATGGGGTCTCACTCATCTTTGTACCTCCAGCTCCTGATGAGATACCTGGCACAGAGAAGGCATTTAACAAATTGTTTGAATTCAGAGGAACTGAATACTACTGGGAATATACGAAAGGATATGATTCCATTCTTGTCTTTAAGTAACTGTGGTATCTGTATAGAATTAAACTTCCATGCTGCTACACTCCTGGCTGGTCCTGTTAAGCATCAAAATGTGTGATTTCAGCAAAGAGGGCTTGAGGAGTGGGGATAGCAGCATTCAGAAATGGCAGGGGGGGCCGGGCGCGGTGGCTCACGCCTGTAATCCTAGCACTCTGGGAGGCCGAGGCGGGCGGATCGCTTGAGCTCAGGAGTTCGAGACCAGCCTGAGCAAGAGCGAGACCCCATCTCTACTAAAAATAGAAAGAAATTATCTGGACAACTAAAAATATATAGAAAAAATTAGCCGGGCATGGTGGCGCATGCCTGTAGTCCCAGCTACTCAGGAGGCTGAGGCAGAAGGATCGCTTGAGCCCAGGAGTTTGAGGTTGCTGTGAGCTAGGATGACGCCATGGCACTCACTCTAGCCAGGGCAACAGAGTGAGACTCTGTCTCAAAAAAAAAAAAAAAAAGAAACGGCTGGGGGGGGGAGAGGCTTGCTGCAGGCTCTTTAAATGTTTCCCATTTTATATTTTATCTTCTTAATTATAAAAGCCACATGTTATAGAAAAGTTGGAATGTTTGGGAAAGTACAAAGACACAGAACAGAAATTAGCCAAAATCTTACCAAGTGCTGTTAGCAGTTTATTGTATTTCCACTATGGGTTTGTCTAGTATCATTACAGCTTTTTCCTCCTCTCTCTTCAGGAGGAAATCTCTGAAATCAAAGAGGAAGGGAACCTGGAAGCTGTCTTGAATGCCTTGGATAAAATTGTGGAAGAAGGCAAAGCCCGCAATGAACCAGCCTGGTGAGCAGAGGGGTGGGGAGGTGAGAAGAGTGATGGAAGGTGCCTGGGGAAGAGGCAGCAATTCAGCTTCTTGGAGGAGACTTTAAGACTGACCCACATCCGTGAGACTCTGGGCTCATGGCCCCTGAGAGAGGACCCTTTGAAAGGGACAAGTAGAAAGGACAGACACCAAATAGTAACCAAGAACAGTTGAAACCCACAGGGTTCCCTCTGGGGGAGGGGAGCCACAGGGCAACTCGTGTTGTCCAGGGGTTCAGGGAGGGGAGTGGTTTGAGACAAGACTGAGGAAGCCCTCCTAGGGGAGCTCATTTGAGGATCTGTTGGACCTGTGGGAGAAAGGCAGGCTAGGGGTGTGGGAAGGGACAGAATAGTTAGGTTTGGAATCGTGTAGAGTAGGCTGGCGAGGAACTGGTTTTTATTCATTTATTCAACAGATATTTAGGGAGCACCTACTATATGCTTGATACTGTTTTAGATGCCAGAGACTTAGCATTGAACAAGACAGATAAAACACCTGCTCTCTTGGAGCTGACATTTCAGTGGGCAGCCTGGCTGCCCAGTATAGGTCAAGTGCAAGATGGAGAAGTGGGGCCTGGGGTGAGGAGTAGAGAGCAGAGGCCATCAAGACCACAGCGGCCTGAGCGCCTGCCACCTACAACCCTCCCTCCATTCCTCAGTGGGATCCTAGGCCAGATGGAGTAGATATATTTTTTTGTACCTCCAATTTTGTTATGCTTTGTGACCTTACTACTTAAGAGAATTAAGTTTTACAGCTGAAAAAGAATTTTTAGAAGAACCTACAGTGGCTTCTTAACACCCTGCCCCACCCCAATATTCTTGCCTCCTTAAACCTGTCTTTCCTTATCTTCCCACATCAGCCAACACTTACCAGGGCCTCCCAGCCACCCCAACCTCTCCAACTCACAGTCTGATGGAGTGGATGCACAAGCAGGGCACATGGTCACAATGACAGAGGCAGGGGCTGAAAAGACACCTTTTGCCCTGGAGTGTTCTAGATGAGAGACTATATGTGGAAGAGAAGAGAGAATGTGGGGTATGGTTGGGAAGGCTAAGATAGGAGCTGAAGTGAGAAGGGGAGAGGTGTACCCCTAGGCATGGAAGCTGAGGGATAGGAGGTGAGCATTCCCATCAAGAGCAGGTCTTGGGAGGTGAGATGGACTGCAGGAGAGGCCTTGGAAGCCAGCCCAACTTGGGACTGGAGGTGGGAATGCCACTGATTTGGCTTGGAAGTAGAACCCTCCCCCCGAAATCCTCCCCCTCCCTCATCCCTCGTGTTCCATGTGGCTCTCTAGGCGCCCCAGTGGGATCCCAGAGAAAGACCTGCACAGCGCCATGGCACCCTACTTCTTGCAGCAACGGGATACCCTACAGCGCCGTGTGCAGAAGCAGGAGGCCGAGAACCGGCAGCTGGCAGATGCCGTCGTGGCTGGGCGCAGGCAGGTGGAGGAGCTGCAGCTACAGGTCCAGGCGCGGCAGCAGGCCTGGCAGGTAAATGTGCTGGCCCTACCTGCTTTCTCTTCCTTCCCTAATAGGACCTCTGAGATCCCCAGATTGATGGCTTCCTCCATTCCAACATAAGGGATCCCTGTAGGGAGTAGGAGAGTCTGCTGCTATAGGACAGTCTCATTACCTCTCCTTGGACATGTGCAGTCGTCTCTTTGCTGACCTCAGCAGACAGGCTCCCCACATCCTCTCCTCTCCCTGGGGCACACCTGCTCTTGGCTGAAGTCTAGCTGGAGGCATGCATTGCCCTGCTGCAGCAGGTGAGGACACAGGCACAGAGAGGGCAGCTGACTTGCCCGGGATAACAGCTCTCCATATCAGAGTTGGAGTTAATATCCAGTGGTCGTTCTACTACTTCATGTGACCATTGCCCAATATATTTAAAATGTATACGTTAGAATGACTTCTAGAGCCTTCACCACGTGTAAAACATATCTTCCATGCAAGAAATATGTGTCCTATGAGGGTGAACTTAATTTTTGAAAGTGGCCCAAAGTCACTTGGGGCCAAGGTGTGTGAAGAAGGCGATCGAGCTGGATGACGGGGGAGCAGGTGTGGCTGCAGAGAGATGAGAAGGATTTTCTTATTGGCTTGAGGTGTGGCTCCAAGAGAACGTTTCCAGTAGACCTTGAGTGGTAGCATCCCTGTTGGATTCTCTCCATCCAGCATTTAGATGTCCAGCTTATACCTACTTATAGCTATTTGACAGCCTCCTTCCTGGGGCAGACCTTCCTATTCCTGAGGGGGACAGGGCCCCAAATCTGTGGTTCCCAGATCCCCCTGGTCTTCTCTTCCCATGACCAGTTAGCTGTAGTCCAAAGGCCCTGCCTGGCTCAGCAAGGGTCCCAAGCCTTGGGGAGGTGGCAGCAGGTGGAAGGTTGGCAGCCTGCTCTGCTCCTTCTTGTCCCCACCCCCTCCAGTCTCCCCATGTCACAGACTAGTCCTAGGGGACTGGACAACAGGCATGAGGCTGGGAGTGACCAAGGCCCTCGGTCTGGGGCTGTCTCGGGGCAGCTCCGTAGCTGAGTTGGGCACTCTGGGGACCGCCCTGCCGAGTCCTCAGGCAAGTGCTGTTCTGCTCCACCACCGCCACTCGATCACCGGGCCCCGGTCGCTCCCGTTGCTGGCTTCCAAACTGGTCAGATAATGGTTGTCAGGGCCCCACCACTTCTGACACTCGGCGCTTCTATTTTAAGAGGGGGAATAAAGCCGCCTGCTCTTACAGCCACACCTCATCCATTCCAGCTACAGATCCTCACATTGTTTGAAGTGGGTCTACTGGATAGAGTGTTCAGTGCTGAGCCCTGTGTGGCAGCTTCAAAGAGCTATTTTTTACCACAATTTCCATGTCAGTAGCCTAACTGAAAGTTCACTTAATTCAAGAAAGTTTCTCTGCTAGAAAGCTCTGATGAGGTCAGAGGATTAGAGGGCCACTTTGGAGGCCCTTATTGAAGATGTGCTCAGGTTAGGGGAGGCCTAGCCCAGGCGGTCACAACCCAGCTTGCCATAAATAATCTGCTGAGTCGTGGGGACTTGCTAATGGGCCTTCGTCCTAACAAGCCCGGCTGGGCCAGTGACACGAGCCACAGACCCCATCCATATTGTCCTGGAGGAAACGCAGGCCTGGAGTCAAGGACAGCGGAGGGAAAGCATTTGGGTTTTCTCATATCCCGATTTGTCTGTTCTCTCCTATTGATTTCAGGCTCTACACAGAGAACAGAGGGAGCTGGTGGCTGTGCTGAGAGAGCCTGAGTGAGGAGATGGCTGGGCCCAGAAGCAGAGGGCAGGCAAGGTCGAGGGCCTATGGTCTAGCATGCTGGGCCTGGGCCTGTCCTCTGAGAACAGCTGAAATGGTGCCCAGTCCTTAAGCAGTGATGGAATTTGCCAGAGGACCAGGCTAGAGCAAGCCCCACTGCCACTGTGCCTTTGGGGCGCCCTTGGGGTTGGTCTCAAACACACCCCTCACCTTCAGATTCCTCCCTGTTTTCTTCTAACTGGAGGATTCTTGCCAGCTCCCACCTGGGAATCAAGCACTAGCTTCTTTCCTCCTGGTTCAGGTCAACTCTGCCAACCCCCTCCTGCTGGTTCCTGAGCCCTCCCTAGGACCTAGCTTGGGGAATCTGTTTTCAATCTCCACTGATTGTCCCCTTGCTGGCCAGCCCAAGGGCTCTTACCACGTTCTCCCCACATCCGTAAATAAACTTCCTCCACTACACTGTAATCTGTGAGGATGCTTCCTCTGCCTGGGCCTTTCTGGGGCCAAGGCCTGCTGTTGGGCTTGCAAGTTCTGGCGCCAGTCAAGGCCTTGGTTGTAGTTCTCTGAGAGCCTCCAGGTTGCATGGGTTGGCAGGGGGTGTGTTTGACCATCATGTGCAGAGGGCAGCAGAGCTCTTCGTACAGAAACCAGAACCCCTGGGTTCCCTGTGGCCAGGACAAGCGCCAAGGGGGTATCCCTCTGTCCAGCCAAACCACACTTCTCTTTGCCATTTGGGCTGTTTCTGAGAAAGTGTCCATGGTGGGCCTCACTTTGGTGTTTGTGCATGGGGGCGGTGCACAGAGCAAGGTGGGCCCTCCAGAATAGCTGGCCACTTTGTCCTCTTGCTTCTGCTGCCTCACCATTCTCCAGGCAGGGCCAGCCAAAGGCAGGATGGTGCTTCCCAGACCAGAGGAGGTAGGAGGTTGGGTACGGATGGCAAAACTTTTTTCCATAGTGAGGGCCTCACCCTAACCCCTTGGGGAGAGGTTTGGTTGGGTCTGTCTGAGGCACATGGGGGACAGATAGGAAGACATCAGGTGGCCCCTGCTTGCCACCCCCTCACCACAAATTGAGCTCAGGCTTTGTTCCTCTGCCCGCCTCTTCACCATGGAGCTGCAAAATTCAAGCATCAGACGCTCCACTCCTGTCCAGCATGCTCCATTGAGTGCTTTGTTTATTTGTCAGGTTGGGCAGACAGTCTTGAGCCCTGCTGGGTGGGTAGGTGAGTGAGGACACAGGTCACAGAGGGGAAGGTGCCAGGACATCCTCCCTTCCCTCTCCAGGCTGACCTGAGGCAGTGGCGGCTTTTAGGTGTGGGATGGGGTGTTTTTGGGCTGGGATGTTTTGTCCCATAAAGGATAGGCCTTCCTATCACTTACGGGAGCACTACGGGAGGGCAGGTCCCTCCCCAAGGTTGTTACCACTGGGGAGGCTGCAAGGACAGGAGGAGAACCTGAGGGTCAGGAGCCTAGAGGTGCACTCCATCTCCCTGTTCCTCACAGGCCTTGTCTCCCTACCTGCTAGGGGCACAGGGAGGGAGTCCCCACCCCAGTGCCCCACCTCCCTGTCCTGTGCCCTGCGTACCTGGCAGTCATAGCCATGTGGCCTGCTCCGGAGATCGAGGCCTTCCTTATCTCACACCTGCCCCCACCTAAATTGGCTTTTGGCTCTTGGCCCCGTACTGCCCTGACCCTTTCTCCGTCTTGATGCACGGGGCCTGAGCAGTCGGGCTGCCCCCGCACTGGCTGCCTTTCCTGTCTCGCTGGGTGAATGAGGGCATTGCCGGGCACTCCCTCTCTGGGGTTTGGCTCCTGCCCATGGGGCTGCAGTAGAAATCACAGGCTGTGAGAGAGCTGGAACCAAGTTCTGCTCAAATCTATTTTAGACTCTGAGCCCCCCTTCTCTTTAGGCTCCCCCTAGAGCCCAGCCAGTGCTTAGCCGGGCCGGGGGTCTCCAAGAAAGAGTGAGTAGGGGTTAGAGACCCTGGGGAATGGGCAAGGGGCAATGTCGAGAGCCTGGAAGTCTCTGCTAGTGGCCCATCCTCCATCACTCCCGGGGACCCTGCCCAGGCAGCCACAGGCCCGACCACAACATCCTTTGGGGTTTGGCCTACAGAGCTGGGGCGGATGACCCCCAAATAGCCCTGGCAGATTCCTGTGACCCGCCTACAACATGGTCAGGTGCCCCTGCCCCCACCTCCAGGGCACAGCCTGGAGGGTATAAACAGTGCTGGAGGCTGGAAGGGGCAGACCAGCTGAGTCCTGGACAGCAGCCCTCACGCAGCCACTGACAGACGCACCATGAGGGCCCTCACACTCCTCGCTCTGCTGGCCCTGGCCGCACTGTGCCTCGCTGGACTGGCAGGTGAGTGCCCCCACCTCCGCCCAGGATGCACTTCACCGGGCGCTGTGAGGGGAATGTGCCATGGCCCTACCTCTCTCACTCCTTCCACTCCTGGCAGTCCCTTCTGCAGTCTAACCACCCTCCTGGACGCTCAATCTCTTTGCCCCCAGCTCTGTCCTTGTAGAAGGAGAGGAGGGAAGAGCAAGCTGCCAGAGAGGCAGGGGAAGGAGGATGAGGGCCCTAGGGATGAGCAGAGGTGAACCGGGCTCCTTTTCCTTTGCAGATGCGAAGCCCAGCAGTGCAGAGTCTGACAGAGGTGCAGGTATGAGGATGGGCCTGGTAGGGGGCTCCCAGTACCACCCCCTCACCCTGGTGCCCTCAGTCCCAATTCCCTACTCCTGCCACCTCTTGTCTGGCTGTCAGGAAGGCAGGCGTGTTCCCCACCTGATCCCTGCCCCTCTGCTCCGCAGCCTTCATGTCCAAGCAGGAGGGCAGTGAGGTGATAAAGAGACCCAAGCGCTACCTGTATCACTGGCTGGGGTAAGAGGAAGGGAGGTGCTGGGTCAGGGCCCTGCAGCGGCAGGACGGGCTGGGGAGGAGTTACAGCAGTGGGTGGCCTCTGTGGGCTGCTGGCGGGGTACGGGCAGTCCTCTCTGGCAGGGACTCTGGAGCCTCTTATGTGCAGTGGGAGGAGGGGGTGGGCATTTTGCACAGGGGCTGATGCTGTTTTGTTGGGTATCTCAGAGCCCCAGCCCCCTACCCATACCTGGATCCCCTGGAGCCCAAGAGGGAGGTGTGTGAGCTCAACCCGGACTGTGACGAGCTGGCTGACCACATCGGCTTCCAGGAGGCCTATCGGCGCTTTTACGGCACGGCCTAGGGCATCCGTCCTCCTGGCCCAGCTGGCAAGCCCAGCTCTGGCTCCTCGCACATCCCTTCCCTTGCCCTCACCCTGACCTCCCTGCCCTATGAGGGTGGGGTCCCCATCATCCCAGCTGCTCCAGAATAAACTCCAGAAGAGGAATTGGGCCTATGAGTCTGTCCAGTCTATGGAGTGTGGGAGGGAGGTGTTAGGAGGATGGAGGTGGAGAGGTTTTACCTTTTGCAGTCCCAGAAAGTGCTTCCCAGAGTCTGTTTATTTATTTATTTATTTGTACCTGCCTTGTTCCAGAAAGCATTGAGGATGGCTTCCTAAAGTCTAACTATGGTTCCCCGCAGCCAGCCTAGCACTCCCCTGCCCCCACCTCAATCTGGTCTGCCGCCAGTGACACACCCAGATGGACCCAGTCCCCAAAAGCCTGGACACCTCAAGTACACAGTTAATGACAAAGACAGACAGACTCATCTCTACAGATAAATAACTGCTGGCAAACTGGGCGCTACCTGGTTTGGGGGTGGGGGCCAAGTGCGTAGCCTCCCAGCCTGGTTAACAAGCATGCGAGGTAGGCCTGGGTTAGTCATGTTAGTTCTTCCCTGGGCTGAGCAGAGACTTCCAGGAGCACCAGAAACGGGGCCAGATGAAAGGGCCCCCATCTCCCCACCCCAAACTCCAACAGGCCATGGGTACAGCTCCAGCCCGGACACACACACCCCCCCTCTCAGACCCTCAGCACTTGCCCCACTCCCATCAAGAGCCCCTCACGGTCCCTCTCCCTCTCTGCTAGTCTCCCCCCAGCCCCCTGAACACCCCCCTTCTCCGCTGCCCTCTCTCCTCTGCTCTCTCGCCTCAGCCACTCTTGGTTCCAGGCTGAGATGTGTCTCCACCTTACAGGCCCAGGTCTGGGCTCCTCCCAGCACTGGGGCCTGGCCTCTGCCTTCCTCCAGGGCAGGGTTAGGAATGGGGCCTCACTGCTGTTTGGCTTGGGTACCCCCCTCTAGTTGGCCATCCTGCAGCAACGGGCATGTACCGGGGGCCCGAAGCAGGGAGGCTGTGAAAGCGGCAATGATGAGTAGGTTTCCAGCCACTGCCAAGCCCAGTGTGGCCACTGTGCCCACCAGGTCCAGGGGGGGTTCCTGTGTGGCCAGCCAGGCTTGGCGAGATCTCATATCAGCCAGCACCGCTTCCAGCTGGAAGTGGGTGCCCAGCACTGCACAGATGTGGAATAGCTGGTGACTGTGGCCTGTGGGGAGAATGGGCAGGTCAGGGCACATACCTGTTCCCAGGACAAGTCACCCCATCCTCTGGGCCTGCTATTCCCCTATAAATTGAGAGCAAGAAACCCTGACTCCAGAGTGGCTGGAAGGAGTGAATGAGCTGATACCCATAAAGCCCCCAGCATACATGCTGCCAGTTTTGCTGTTCATCTGAGACGGGTGGGTGGAGGATGGGCCTGGACCCTGAGGACCCTCCCAGCCGTGCTCTCTAGTTGCAGGAAGACAGGGAAGTGCTTCCTATCGTTTGCTTCCATCCTCGGGCTGCGATACCCCGTTTACTCAGTTCACCCTGTGCTCTGGGAAGCTGTCTCTCCCGCCTCTTCCTGGGCCAGGTCATGTGTGCTCTCACCAATGTAGTCAAAGCGTCCTGGTGCCAGGCGCTCGGGCAGGTGGGAGGCGAAGAGGAAGCCAGTGAGCAGCGCGCAGAAGAGGTGGTAGCCGTGGCTGGTGCTCAGCATCTCCTGGCCACAGCTGTGGCCCCGGCCCCAGCACAGCCCGAGCTGGCAAAGGAAAAGTGGGGCTGGTGGGGAGGGCTCAGGAGTGGAAACGTGGGATGTGTCTGGGATGTGGTGAGGATGCGGAGGGGGTGGGCACAGGCCGGGTGCTGGGCCTGAAGAGAAGGCACAGGGCTCAGGTCAGGGACTGGGGGGCAGGCACCCCAGGCACCCTTACCCGATAGAAGAGTGGGAGGTTGTCGAACAGGAAGGGATAGGCGAAGGCTGCTGTGCGGAGGACCTTACTGAGCCCAGGGCTTTCGAGCTCGGGGAACCTGGGAAGTAGGAGGGAAAGGCTGGTCACCATCCCTATGCTCTGGATAGGGGTCCGAGAAGGGCAAGGGCAAGGCCAAGACGGAATGTCAATGCAGCTTAACCTAAGAAAGCCCTTAGGCACACGGCCCCCTCTGTAAATGAGCACTGCTGTATGTGGCGATAAAGACACCTGCCTGTCAGGTGGCTGTGAGAATTGAAGGAGACCAGCATGGGCATGACGCTAGCACACAGGGTCTGACAGAGCAAGTCCTCAGTAAGTGGTCCTGTTGTTACTAACATTATTCGAGAGCAGTGAGGTGTGTCCTTTTCTGTGCCTCCACCTTCCCGGTCCCCACTGAAGGTGCCTGAGAACCCACCGGGAGTAGCAGGAGAGGCCGGTGCACAGGAAGGAATTGAGTGCGGCGGCAGGCACAAAGAGCTGGTGCAAGCGGCCGTGCAGCCAGGAGGCCGGCATGGAGTAGGCGGCATAGGGGAAGGCGCAGCCTGTGGGGAGGTTGGGGCGTGGTCTGAGGCCAGGAGCGCGCCCCTCCCTCATGCGTCCCCTCCCTCCATCGTCACCTCAGTGCGGAGCGCCTGGCCCGCCACCCTTCAGCTCACCCAGACTGTATAGGCTGAGTGCACCGTAGTCCAGGAAGTAGCAGATGTGACGCGCGCGGGGCGACATGGAGCTGAAGGTGTGCGCGCAGCACGACGCGAAGGGGTAGAGGCAGGCGGGCAGCAGGAAGACGAGCAGCGGCCAGTGGTACGGCTCCGCGCGGAAGCCCGGGCCCCCGGCCAGCACTAGGAGGCGCCACAGGAAGTACCTGCAGCGGGCATGTGCTCAGGCCGCCGCGGACCCCCGCGACTGCCACTGCAGCCCGTGGGCCTGGACGGTCCCTGCCCACCTGGGTACCCCCTCTGAGCTCAAGGTGTGGGCTGGGGCAGAGCCTCCCCTCACCAGGTGGGCAGGAAGTGAGTCCAGATGTTGACCGTCTCGTTGGTCATCTGGAAAGAGCTGAGGACACAGTCCAAGGCCGAGCTGGTGGGGCGGCGGTAGCCAGACATGATGCCATCTTCCCAGAACACCTGGGGTAGTGGTGGGAAGGAGAGAGAGTAGGGCAGTCATTGTGCCAGGGCCTTTCCTTCCATGAGAGATCTCTGGAAGCCAGGTTGAGGAGGGGCTGGAGATCACAGTGGCCCCAAAGCCAAACTAAATGCGGACCCCCATCTTACCACAGGTTCCAGTACCCACAGAGCAGCTAAGAAACAGAAGAGCCAGAGTAAAGGGACAAGATAGGATTGGGGAGGGAGAGTCTGGATGGAAGGACCTTCTGGGCTGTAGGAGGGGGTCAAACGCTTGTTCCTTAGAGAACAGAGGAAGAGTCTCACTGGAACGCGAGGGCTAAGAAGCTAAGAACCTCGGGGAGGCACTTCCCCAACAGCTAACAGACAACCTCTGCCCAGTCCTTTGGAGAGTCAGGGTTGGTGGATGGAGCGCCTCACCCTGGGGACCTGGTGCACTCGAAGGAGCTGAGGCAGCTTGAGACTGAGCATGGTGACCTGGCACCTCCACGTTGACCTGGAAACAGAGGTGGGTGGGGGGATCAGGTATCTGTCCCCAGCCACAGGCCCCTTTTCACCCAGGTTCAGGCTGGACCTGGTCACCGAGCCCCAGGGTGGGGGCATGTGCACGGGCGCACGCACACGTGTGGGAGGTAGCTGGCCAGAGTGGCTTCCTTCAAGCCAGGGCAGGGTGGCCCAGCTTCCCCAGTCACATCGCATAACCCCAGCCCCTCCCCGTCTTAGCCTAGGGGCGTTCAGCACCCCCCCATTGACAGGGGCTTGCCAGCGTCGGCCCGGCAGGGAGTGGATGGTCCTACCCAGTCAGCAGCCTGCCTCAGTTAGTAATCTCAGCTCCCCAGCCTGATTTTTGTCTCAGGGAGAACCCCGACTGCCAGTGGCCAGCAGGAGCCTGAGCACCCCACCCCACCAGAAAGCGCTTTGGCTCTCAGTGCCGGAGCTGAGCCCCGAAAACTCCTGGCTCTCCAGAGTTCCTGGAGAAGCAGGATGCCGTCAGGTGGCCCAAGGAATTAGGGGGATGCCTGGCTCTTCTCTGAGGACTACGCTTGCGCCCCCTGGTAGCATTCGGGGGTTCCTCCTGAGCCCCGTGCCCCTCAGCCCCCAGACCTGCACGCTGCCTCCGGTGCCGGCTCTGCTGCCCCGCCCGCCTCTCCAGCGCCTCTCCCGGCACATTCCTTGGCACAAGTGGAGGGGCTGGGCCAGCTAGGTAGGCGGAGCCGCCCCAAGAGGAAGGAAATGGGACACTCCCCCACCTCCCAGCCCAAACTTCCCAGCAACTCTACAGCCTAGCTCCACCCCTCTTCCTGCCGCCAGCTTCGACTGTCCATCTGTGTGCCTGTTTTTGCTGCACACGCTCTGCACCTCTGTCATTCAAGGGTTTGGGGCCCTCTGCTCCTGAGCTGGGTGCTGGGAACCCTGCTGGGCACAAGGCAAACTTGGTCCCTAGTCCCTGCATCCCAGAACTTAAAGATGGATGAGGGCCTCCCAGGGTATCTCTTGCCCCTTCCCAGGAATGGGATGGAGGTCTTGCCTGCCCCAAGAGTGCTGCCCATCTATCAGGGTGAGGGGTGAGAGGAAGGTGCTGGGGTCTGTCTCCTTCCAGGGTCCCTCGCTTTAGCAGTAGGATTTGGAGATTAGAGTAGAGTGGGGTGTGTGCAGCTGCAGTGGAAACGGGGGCTGGAGCAGGTGCTGTACCTCTGTTTCCCCAGAAGAGGAGTGTCAGAGCCCCAGAAGGCGAGCTTCCTTACCCAGAGCTTGACAGGTGCTCCTAAGCTGGCGGGTCAGCAGGCTGGGGCTCCACGGGGCGGAGGCCCAGGCTCCTGCCAGCTGGGCTGATGGAGGGAGAGGAGAGCGGCCAGGCAGGCAGGCCAGGCCTGGGCAGGGAGTGGGGAGACAAAGGGAGCCAGGGAACAATCCCAGCCTTGTCCAGCCTCCAGAGAGCTGCACGGGGTGGCCCTGCCCCATTAGCAGGCAGCTCACTCGGCCTCCTGCACACAGCCAGCCTCTCCAGCGTGATCCAACGTCCCTATGCTGACTGGCTAGAACAGGCCAGAAGCCCAAGTCAGGACATAACCACAGCGCTGCGGAGTCCAACCCCACCCCAGAGCAGCGCACCCCAGGTGCAGGTTCTGCCAGGAGTCAAGGACGGCTCTGCATTAGGATGGGCAGAAGAACCTAAATCCCCAGATTTTTACTGGACTTCAGAACCTTACCACGCTTTGCTGCCTCCTAGCACTTAGTGCTGGGTAGGGTTCACAGCAAATTGCCTTCGGTAAATGTTGGTTCAACCACGAGGGATGTGCCAAGCTTATTACCCACCAAAGACATAATTTGAAGACACACATTTGAGGGCTTGGAGGCTGGTTAAGGCTCACCCCACCTCCTTGAGGAAGAGGATCCAGCTGGAGACAGCAACCCACCCCAGGCAACACTGTTGCTGGCAAAATATCGTCACCTATCAGATTTGCAGAGGTACCACCTCAGTTCGCAGGGTCAATGAACCTGACAATGTCTATCACAAAACCATCTCCAAGGCTTTCGCTCCAATCGCCTGCTTCTTGTTCTGTTCCATCCACTTCAAAGCCTTTCCAAAAGGCATTGATTGCAGCATGGCATCTTCAACATCCCCTCTTCTCCCAATAAAACTTCTGTACAGACAGGCACCGGGAGACGGGGAGTGGGCTTGGGGAGGGTCTTTATTAAAGTGATGCTTTAGTCTCAGTCTCTGCCAGGAACTGGGGGAACTGCCACTCCCCCCAGGTTTTCTCAGACTTGCTGTCTTAGAGGATGGAAGCAGGAAGCCAGTTCTCCTCTAAGCACAACTTGGGAAGACAGGCTAGCACTGGGGTGGGATGGGGGGCAGCAGAGCTGAGATCGTCCACCCCCTGCCCCAGCCTATGCTACACTTCCAGCCTGAAGGAGAGGGGCCGAGGCAATCCTCCCACACACAGCCCCGCTCTTGGCGTGCCATTCACTGCCCTGAGCTATTCATGATCTCTGCTCCGCGTATTCACCTCGACACTCCAAAAGCCAGCCCCACATGCAGCCCCTCCAGGTCTTTAGCCCTAGGGAGGGCAGGAGGGAAGTCCATCAGGACAGAGGGCCCTGCCTGAGCAGCTTCAAGGGACCTCTCCTTTCTGTTGCCACTGAATGGCATCCTCTTGTGTTCAGCCCTTCCTAGATAGTAAGGGGGGGTGGCACCAGACTGCACCCCCCTTTCTTCTCTTACCGGCATCCCACTCTGTCCCAGCACAGCAGCCAAGAGCACAAAGCACAGCGCCCGTGGGGCTGGTGGGCACAGGAACCCGCACTGGCATACAGGCCGGACTGCCTGCAGCCCTAGGTCGGGCCTGCTCCCTGCCCTGGAAGCCAGACAGAGGGAGACGGAAAGCACAAGTGGGGCGATGGGTGTGCAGCCCCTGTGGCAGGAGAAGGGGTATACAAACCCTGACCCTGCTGCTCAGTGCAGGCCACTCCAGGCCTCGCTCCTGTAAGAGCCCCCATGGCTGGCTCCAGAGCTGCCCAGCCCCCGCAAAGGGCGATGAGAGGAGGAGGGGTGGTCCTTGAGTGGGGGAAAGATCTGCAGAGAACCAGCCAGATACCTGGTAGTACCCAGCTCTTCCCCCAGGGCCCGGAGGGTCCAAACTCCTGGCCCCAACCGCCCTGCATCTTGGGTGAGGAAGAAGGGCCCCTTCCGCTGTTCCTTCTGCTCGAAGGTCCCGGAACCACTCCAATGAAATGTAGACACCCATGCCTGCCACCTGCCCCTGGCGATAGCAGGGAAGTTGAGGCAGGAAGGCTGGCTAGGGGCCCACAGAACTTTCCTGCTCCAAGCACTTTCCTCGCTTTCCTAATGTCATCTTGGCAACAGGGGGACCCCACCCTCCCAGCTGGCTCCTGGGCCCTCCCTGCAGCCTCTGCGCAGCTAGGCTTCCTTCCTGTGTGCGTGCGTGAGTCTGCGTGTGGTGGGGTGACTACAGGTGGTGGTCCTGGCTGCCAGGGAGGGCAGGAGAGATCTGGAGTCAGCCCCACTGCAGGGCCTGGGGGACAGTCTCAACCAATCTCCTTCCATTGCTTGTAGAAGTCCAGAACATTCTTGATGTCCACACTGGCATGGGCAGCGGCCTGCAGGGCTGCCTGTGAAACGGGGGGAAGGAAAGATGGGGAGGGCCTGACCTCCAGACCTGAGGGACAAGTCACCGAGGGGCTGGGAAGGAGTGAGGAAGAGGAAAGGGCAGCTATATGGAGGGTGTGAGAATGGCGTCTACTCTGGTCCCTCTTCCCTATTCCATACCATCCCCCCACCTCACCCGTGACCCACCTGCATGGGGCCTGAAAGCACGCTGGGGTTGTCCAGTGGAAGGCCTGTGATGATGGTCACCATGCCGCTTGGATCCTCCTCACCTGCCCCCTGGGCCAGAGTCAGCTGTTTGCAGCTGTCTAGGATCTTATAGAGAGTCCTGGTGGGGCGAGGGTGGGTGGTGAGATGGGCCAAGACCCAGCATTAGCACCGCTTAAATCCCACGATCTCCAGGGGACAGGGAAAGCAGGGGGCTGGGAGGGCTCTCTCTAGAGAGGACAAGAGAAGCCAGCCAGCCAGCAGCAGCGGGCCCCTGGCGCTGGCTCGGGAGGATGTGCTGTGGGCAGCAGGCAAGGAGCGCTCAGCGAGAGCACCAAGCCCACGCATCTCAGGGCCAAAGGAGCTGACCCCACATGTCGAAGGAAGCGCACAGGGGCTGGAGCAACTTCATACTCGCTCCAAGTTGAGGCCTGCAGGAGGGCCCTGGCGGGCTAAGCGTGAAGCTTCGGGATTCTCTGGCCCTGTGCCACTCTCCTTGGGAGTGCCCACGGAGGAGCGAGGCAGGCGGCCTGGCTGAGGTGCTGGGGGTGAGGGCTGAAGTTTTACCAGGCGTCTGCATCCTGCCTCTTCAGCTTATGCCGCTCAAAGCTCTTTCCCACCTCTTTCTGGCAGCGAATGTACCTGCAAAAGAGACGTTGAGAGTGGAGGTGGGGACAGAGGATAAGGAGGGCATCTTACACAAAGCAAGCCATTGTGGCTCTGGGAGCCCAGTTTTGCAGAAGGGGGTGGGGAACATGTCTCTCCCATCAGGTCTCTGTTTGGAGCCATTTCAAAGTTGCTTCCTGGCCACCGGGCCCAGCTCGCTTTTCCTCCTGATAACATCGATTCTTTGGTTCCTCCCAGGGGAGGAGCTGGGAGGGGAGAAGCAGCAGATGCTTTTCAAGTTGAGACTTCTGGAGGCAAAGTCCAAACAAGCAGGCTTTGTGCAGCTTCCTGGCCAGTCAGGGCACATGCAGAGGGGAGCGAGGGCCGGCCAGCAGGGAGAGGGGAAGCTCTCTCCCTATCCCCTACACCCTCTGCGCCAAAGGCTAGAAGGGCACATCTGTATTGAGCACCTGTCCATGGTGCCATCTGCTCATCCCTGGTTGGTTTCAGTCTTACCACTGCCTCAGCTCAGTGGGGAGGTGGGAAGCCCCTGGGTAGCCCTGATGAAGGCGCTCCTGCCCTGGGAAAACTGATCGCCTGGCCCGACCATAAAGCAGGAGCGCTCCTCCTGCAAAGGAGCCCACGGCATCAAGCTGGGGAGAGGGGGGTCTGCTCCTTTCTCCTCAGTGGGTGCTGACCACAGGTTTGCCCCAGAGGCAAAAGGACAGCAGCTCAATGCTCCCCACAGGGCTCCTGGCTCCTCTGGGCATGCTCTATTTCAGCACGTAGGACCTTGACTTCCAATTATCTGTTTAGTATCCCTCCCCAGGCAGCGAGCAAACTGGGAGTGGGGGCTGAGGGGTGTGTCTCGCCTATAGGGAGCAAGGAGCTCATACGCATGTGTCGTCCAGAAGACCTCAGCACAGGTCTGGCCAGGCCTGCACTTACCTGTTTCCTTTTTTAAACTCTGCCTCCAGGTACCGGATCCCATCCCGGGCCCCTGGGTGTTCCTTCTTCAGTAAATCCAGGCCATCAATCACTGGTGGGCAAGGCGTGGGCAGGAAAGGACAAAACAGATGAGTTCAGACTGCTGAGATGGGGCTCCGCAGGAAGTATCTGAGCTCACCCCAGAACACACCACAGGAAGAGAAGGGCCCATGGCTCCAAACACGGCTCCCAAAGTTCTCTGAAAATGTGACCTTCTGCTAGCAATATACTTGGCAATTTACTTACCAACGCTCTCACATATTTCCTCATCTGTATCTCCCAACTGTCTTGTGAGGCATATCAGGGATTGTTATGCTCATTTCACAGATAAAGGGACAGGTTCAGAGAGGTGATAGATCTTGACCAAGGTTTCTGTGTATAAACTGGACCCCAAATAAGGGTCTCTCAATCCCAAGCCCAGAGTCTCTTTTAGCCACACTCTATCTGTCCCGCTACCTCCCCAATATGCTTACCTGTCCTTGGGATGATGACAATGAAGCGGCCACTGGTGGCCAGCTGGCGGATGACAGGGAGGTGGTGGCAGAGGGCCTGGGTGTCGGGGACGAGGTAGGGAGACATAGCTGACTGAGCCTTGGGCTGCTGCAGGCTGCCCTCCAGCTGAGAGACCTCCAGCTGGTGAGAGAAGGCAAAGAGGGCGGAGCTGTGTGGGGCCCCTGCAGCCTGGGCAGGGGGAAGAGTGGTGCTCATGGTGGCTCTTATGAGGCTCCTCCTGTTGCTAACGGGGACAAGGGACCCTTTCTACCAGTGGCCTTGGAGGAAAAGTAGACCAAAATCAGGGTTAAGGGAAAGAGAAAAGTGAGGGGAAAGAGAAGCAAAGGCAGAAAGGGGGCAAATGAATGAGCGAACAGGGAGGGGGATCGGGGAGAAGCGAGGGGTGCAGCAGCACAGAGCAGGGGGACTGCAGCTAAAGCAGGGAAGATCTGCCAGTGGGGTTTGAGCAAAAGCTAGAGTCTAGCTTATTAAAAGGATTTGTTTTGTAA